ACTTGGAGGCCAACCTGTATATAGTGGCTGCAGCACCTTCATGTGATTAGGTTTCAAATTTTTCTAGGTAGCTAGACGCCATTCAAGGCATAATATAGGTTTTGAATTTTTTTTTCTTATATTCTTGAGTGGTGCCAAGGAGCTCTGGCGGAAGGGCCTTTATTTATTAAGCCTGGCATTTAACTCTTCCTAGCAAAGAGAGATGTAAATTACACCACAAAGTTATAAATCTTGTAATTTGCAAGTCTAAAATTATAAATAAAAATAGTATGTAAGGACCGCCTGTTCCTTCAAAAAAAAAAAAAATATCTATTGGAAGATTTAAAAATCATATTTCACTTGATTATTTGATTTTCAGATTTGATAATCTGTATTAACTAAAGAATTTTCTTGAAGCATTTATTAAAAAATGTTAGTAAAACTATAAGTATCATGATTATATAATCCAAAGATGTAAAATAAAATATTTACATAATTTTATTAATTAATATAAAAAATATTTTAATTAAGATTGTTTATTATTACTAAAAGATTTATATTAAATTTTTATATATTTTTTAAATTAATATTTATTAAATAATGATATAATTTTGAATTTTTTAAAAAAATTTTGCAAAAAATTTTGTGCCACCCTATATATATTTTTTAAAGTAGGTAAACATTATTACTTTATTAATTATAAAATTGTTTGAAATTTATACATGAAAAAAGTGACAATATCTCTTATATAACTAGCTAAATTAATAAGTCTAATGTTGGTTTATCTATATAAATTATTTTAATAATAAGAAAAATAAATATTAAACTATTATATATTTGAAATAGTACCAAGCAGCTATGAATATCTACTTAAGATTATTAATAAGATTATTAAATTTGGTTATTAAATTTTTATAACATAAGATATAATTGTAATTACTATTAATAAATTTATTTGTAATTAAAAATGAAAGATTCACAATTAGTTTGTTATAAGAGTTTGAGTTAGATCTGAAGTTTAATATTTCTTGATTTGAATTTTTGAATTAATACTATTGATATTATTTTTATTATTTTTTATTATTATTTTTAATTAACAAAGATTAGAGTTCTACTTAATTTTAGTAGTGAAAGATATATTTGCTATATTATATCTTGATTTTCAAATAAGATTATAAAACAGTGAAAGGCTTTTAAAAATTACTTTAATTCAAGTAATAATATTTATTAAAAGATATATTTTACTAGTGAAACTATATAACAACTTGACTATTTATCAAATGTGATTAATTAGTTTATTATTCTGATTTGAATATAAGGTATTATTTATAGTATTAATAATATAAGCTACTTAATTCTTGATCTCAATGTACTTAAATATATATTTGATGTCTTCAATTTTGAGCTAGTATCTTAAGCAGAAGTGATTTGAGTATTGCTCTGGATAAAGTTAATTAAAAAAAGCTTATATTGAGAGTGTTTTTGAGAGATGTTTAATTTTAAAAGATATAAGATTACTATAAGATTTATTTTATATGCTTCTAATTTGCTTGATAGATTTGAAAAGAAATTCTAGCCTATATAGATTTAGAGTTTCTTAAAAAATTTTGACTATAGATAAACTTTTACAAATTATATAGGTTTTTATGATTCTTAGAATTTTCTTGAACTATATAGTACTGCTGTTTAGATTGATATTGTTTATTTTGAGATTTTTAATAAAGTATAATAAAAGAGTATTTCAGTATATAGTTTATTTATTATTGATTTGAACTTAAACTTGGCTATAGTTTCAAAAATTGGAATTGAACAAAATCACAGAGAATCATATAAGATTTGAAACACTATTAAAAATGATGATAAAGTATATCTTACCTATTAAATTTAATATAAACTTGAGAATCAAATATAGAATTGAAGAGAATCATTAAGATCCTTAAACTTGACTAATTGAAAGTAAACTGATCTGTAAGTACTTAGACTAATAATTCTTGAAATTATAAATGTATGATTAGTTTTGATTATTTTTCTTGAATTATCAAGAACTTGTTAAAGAATGTTTTAATTGTTTTTGATTTTAATTATTAATAAGACTAAACATTATTAAATAATATTGTAAGTTATCAGGAGAATATTGATTGTGGCTATACTTAAAGTTAGAGTTTCTAATAGTATTATTTTGATATCAAATTAGTACTGGATTTACTATGAGTTTAATATAATAGATTACAATCCATATATTAATTTTATTATAAGTCAATACCAAGTTGATACTATTTCAATACTCAGTTCAAAGCCTTACTTAAAATAGATAAAATAACATTGGTTTAATTAATAATATTATTATCCTTGAGAGCTTAAATAGAAAAAAAATAAGAGTAATTAATATTAAAAATTTAAGAAGAAAGAAAAAAATTTAATAGCTATAGTATAATATTTATATTATATTATTATATTCTTGTTTTTAAAAATTAATAACCAATTTTGATTTATAACTTAATTAGAAGTAAAAAAAAAATTAATTAATTAATTAATTAATTAAATTATATAATAAAAATATATAAAAAATAGATTTTATAATCTAATAATTAAAGCTATATTTATTATAATTATATATAGTGTAGAACAAAAATACTTGTACTACATATTAATTTTTATTTCTTATAATATTTTAATAATTAATTGATAACATAAGATAAAAATCTATATTAATATAAAAAACAAGTTTACTTAATAAAGTTTTTAAAATATATTATTAAATTTTCTTAAAATTTAACAAAAAAATTTTTTTAAAAAAATAATTGATTTTAGTTATATTATAAAATAAAAATAATAAAAATTATTGAATTTATTTCAATACATATATTTGTTAAATAAAAATCATAATAATATTAATAATAATATTTTTTTTTTATTAAGTATAAAAAATTATTTAATAATTATGTAACTTAAATTAAAATAATCAAATTTTACTAAAAAACAAAAATTTTATATTAAACATAGAATTTTTAAAAGTTTTTAGATATTTTTTAAAAATAATTTTATATAATAAAAAAAAAATTAATTTTACAACATTTATTAAATATAATAATAAGTTTTTTATAATTTTTTTATAAGCTTAAAAGATTTATTTATATTTATATTTGATTTTTTTAAAAATTTTTCTATAGTAAAATTTTAATTTCCATTCATATTTTATATATAAATATATATACTGTATATAATTTATAATACATTTTTTGAATTTGAATTAATATTTTTAAATAAATTTATTAATTAGGTTATAAAATATATATTTAAAATATCAGTGCAATTATTTTTGTTTCACACTGTATATATTGATTAATAAAGATTATGTATACATTACACTTCAGCCTTAAAAAAAATAAATTATTATTATTATTAAAATTATTGTGTTTTTCAAGTTTATTATTAATAAATGCAAAATAAAATAATCAAAAAATGTTATTTTTAATGCTTATTTAAAAAATAACAATAATAATTTAATTTATTATTTATTAAATAATATATTAATAAATTAATTTTTTTATAATATATAATATATAATTAAAAAAGCTTTATTTGATTTTCTATTAAACAATATTTAAAAAACATTATTTTAAATTAAATTAATGCATTTTATCTAATAACGATTTTTTGAATGTTTGACTTATTAATTCAAGGTTTAACACGTGAAGAATATGTATTTTCTTTATTTTGTGTATTGTTTAATGTGTTCTTTATAGTTTACATTTGAACATTTTGATTGCACTCCAAGTTGTTTGAATTCCTAACATTCTTCTGGATATAAATCTTTTATTCGTTTAACTTCAATTGAATTTGAACCAAACGTTATAGAGACAACATAATTTGTGTATTGTTGCCACCGGAGATTTATCGGGTCAAACATTTCAAATTCATGTATTTTAAAGTATACTTGGAACAAGTTACTTTCTGAATTCATATCTAGTAACCAACCTTTGACCCAATCTTATCATTTCCAATGCAATGGCCTTACTATTTAATGTTACTAAATTTAAATCTTTGCCATGTGGTGTCTATAATCAGGTAATATATTCGATCAATAACGGATGACAAGTGAAAAAATTAGAAATATGTGACCTACCTCACTCTCTGTCAACATACTCGAATAGCCAAGATTAACCTTCCATGGCCTGGGCATGAAATATATTGGCTTCCATACAACGCCAATGATGTCACCGCCATACTTGTTATGAAAGAATAGCGCTATATCTGAATACAAACCCTAAATGATAAAAATAGAATTAGTAGGTACATTTATTACAAAAAAGGGAAATCAAAGAATACCGCGAGCATGAAATGGAAAGTTCAATATCACGATAAATACCCGTAATTCGTTTAGATACCACTCAACTGGATCAAAACCGGTCCATTTACTTTTTTCTCTGTAATATTCAATCGTACTCCAGATAAATTTCTTACTAACCAGTTGAAGGAGGTGTTTTTTTTCAACCGAGATATTTTGATAATATCGTGGGCATTGGATGGGATCAAGAAATATCAATACATCATAATCTTTCAGCGGTGCAACAAATAAACTCTGATTAAGAAAAATATTCGTCTGTTATTGTGTATGTGGCAAAGATAACAAAGAGTTACATGAGTTACCTTGAACCTTGTTGTCGTCTCTTTATTCATAATATCGTCAATACATGTAATCGCAGCATGGGCTAAATCTTGAATCCTTCTTGCAACAACTTTACATGGTTTGTCCATCCCCCATATCTGCCCAGAGGTTGTTGCTATAAATAATGTACCATGTTCATTATCAGCGTTTCCCCTGATGTCCCTGAATTTTTTTTTAACCTCCTCTACTACACTACTTGCTTTATCATGATCGCTACTGATAGGTGACGAAGTGTCACTATAAAGGTTTTCTCCTAAATCCACGATCATGGGTTCATTCTTCCAATCCCAAGCGCTGATTACCTTTAGCACTCTAAGAAATCCAACGAAGCCCGAAGCAGGTCTAGACCAAGGTTGTGGTTCCAGATAGACGAAAGCACTTAAAACCTCTATAAACTCTTCATCAACGTGTCCTTCTAGCAAATGTGCCATAAACCATCTCTTCGCAAGTCTAATAGTCAATGATAAAGAAGGATACTTATTACATAATGTTTGGATTTGTGAACTATGTAACGGTAGATCTATGAATAGCCGCTTGTCAACCTCCAACGCATTCTTATAAACTTCTTTTTTCCTTGACAAAGATGTTTTATCTCCAATAACACGTTCTAACATTGAGATTTCGCGTTCATAATAAATTCTACACCTAAAGGCGTATCCTGAAATGAAGATTTCCAAATAAGATGTGGGCGATATTATCGTATCGCTATTTTTTGTCACCACTGTCGCTTTAATTCCATGAATATTGGATTTCAATTGTTCAGAAATCTTAATATAAAATGCCAGTTTCATCTTTTGAACAGCTACAAGGTCATTAGGCCATTTTGTTGAGACTTCAAACTGTATTAGAATATCTATTGGTTCGCAATAATGAAGAGTATCTGGATCATATTTACGAGAAATCAAGTACATCCCAAGTTTTTTAGGTTTCTTTTGTGATTGTTGACATGGCTGAGGAACAAATACTGATGCGTATCTTAATGCCGAACTTGTTGCCCTAATGTTAGATATTTTAAGAGGAAGATCTTCAATCGATAGCAATACCTTTGATAACTCATCGTATGCGGTCATCACCGGTTGAAATCCCTTGTCGATGGTATCTTGATCAAATATTTGCATTGGAACGGCTGGAGACGGTTTAACAAATTTATTAAATTGTCCGGCAAAATACCGAATTCCCTCATCTTTGATTCCGTAATGAAGCGAAAGTAAATAAAGAACTATTTTGTTGATAATTAAACCACGCGATTCTATTCCATTATAATCCCAAACCACACATTCGAGAATTTTGCCATCCTTGAATCGTCGTACTTCAGCTTTTTTACCCCATAACTTCTGAAATTCTTTTGCTGCATTTTCATCTTCAGGTGTGGGACCATAATCGACCAATCGATTTGACTCTTCCGGATTTAATAAGAAACCCAAATAAAAATTGATTTTTGCCGAGTTATAAGCTTTAGGACGCTCAGAAATTGACCAAGGTGGCAACTTGTCATAGTGTATGGTAATGAGTTTGATGCGATTAGTGAGTCCTCGTTTCAACAAGGATGGTATTGTTCGTGCGAAATATATAAACTGGTCGGGATAATCCAATTTAACCGAGTCCGTATATTCTTCATACTTCACAGGCAACTGAACTATACTAAAGAGATACCGTACTTAATATGATATAGTTGGTTACTCCAGCTTAGGAAACAAAATCCTACCGTGCAACATTATCATATTTTAACTTCATGTCATCAACTTTCCGTAGAAATATAGCATCGAACCGATCCTCTACGCTTTCATTAAAATATTTCATTGCCAATTTTGCCTCAAATTGCAACTGCAGCATACAGGAATGACAAAGATTAATTTAAAATCTTGTGACTGTTGTAAGGAATAGCAGATTTAGTCCTACATGTTCGAGCTCTGTCCTTGATATTCCACTAAACAAGTTCAACGTTCCAGAATCGTCAACAAATACGGCATCAAAATTCTCTATAAATGATTTCCTAGTGAACTGCAAGATATTCCACAAGATAGTTATTTAATGCATTGTAAATTTGATGTTTATGCTAAAAATTAAAGCTTGCCTCTCCCACTTCAGAGTTATTCATAAATACAGGTGATTCCAAAAAGTTATGGTTTGCTTGGATATAGTGTTACAAGTTAGATTTTTGAATATATGCTACGTCCAAAAATAGAAAGATAACCGTTATTATTTACCCAAAAAATCCATAGTTCCCTTGATCAATTGGTAGGAACTATATGCATTGGCCAATTTCTTGTCACCATTTGGACCTCCATCATGTAACAGATAGATCATTAGCATCGACCATAAAAACCCGTTGAAACCGTTCGAGCCATTCTTTTCCAAATCAAAACCTCTTTGGTGAAGCCAAACTTTTGCCAGTTTGCATGCGTCAATGAACGCAGGACAATCCTTAGTGTGTTTGTATAAAAGGTTTAAGTGTGAAACAAAATATGCGTCTTTCAATATTGCTGAATTATATTGTGGTGTCGGTGGTAACGAATGACTTTGATCTTGTTGATCTTCAGTATTTTGATCACGAAGCGGGCGAACGTTGTTACGAGAAGGTGACAAACGTTGTTGCGGAAATAAGTCCATTGGAATGCATGGAATTATGCGTATAGTGCAATTTAATGCTGAATAATCAGTGTCCGAATCATCTACATAATCAAATATTATGATTAATGAACGAAATTCTAAATAGAAACCTTTTTATATAGCATACCATCAGATGATTCAAGCAGTATGATAGGTCGACGTCTATCCCCATCTAATGTATCAAATTTGACTTTAGCACTGAACCCCGAAGTTTCATCTTGAAGAGCGGCAGCCAATACTGCCAAGTAATATGCTCTTTTATAAAAATAACGGTAATTCATGTAATCTTTTTCCTGAAATATTGACTATCAAATTGAAAAGATCATATTAATGACAATAATAATTATATGCAGCATTCTATTCATTGAATGGGTGTTTACCTTAGGCATGATGACCGCAACATCCACGTTAAAACCTTGGCGCCTACGGATCACACCTTTTAATGGATAACTGCCAACCAAATAAAAGGCAGTCGGTTTCTCAAATCCAAACTTATATTGAACGCATGTAGGACCGGGATCAGGAAATGGAATTGTGATATTATATTTTTTATCAAAAATAGACTTTGCAAGTTTGATCTTTTAAAAATAATTTAAGAGTAAGGTAATTGGTTATTTTCATATTACGAATTCAATACCATTATTCGAAATATTAAATATATAAAACTTACTGGAAGATCTAGTTTATCATTCATGTTCTCGAAAATCTGTTTCAACTTATTTAACGCGTTTTCTAGTCTTGAAGTTGCTGTGAAATCTATACTTATCTCTTTCAATAGTTCATCAATCTAAAATCGAATCATTAATTAATTAGGTATGAAAGAATTTTCACACGATTTTAATCCAATATTATGAAGAAGTATAAACGTTTTACTTGAAGTTTGAATATATTCGATTTAAACAAATCAGTTGTTTCCTTTAGTCCTCGTATTTCCTCATTTGTAGGTGGTTCGTGTATCGAAGAGTTTTTAGACACCCATTCTTTGTCATACTCATTCTCTTGTCTATCTTTCATTTCTTCATCTCTCATTTCTTGATCCTCCATTTCTTCGCCGTTCATATCCTCATTCACTTCACCATTTGTTCCTTCATCCTCTATTGTTTCTCCGTTACTTTCTTCAACAATTTCGTTTTTTTTTTCACCTTTCTTTGTTTCAATCAATCCTCCTAGCATTTCCTCCATATAAACACCACTATTCAAAGCCGTGTTTGTGAGTGTTTGAATATCATGAATGGGATCCAAATCACTCCCATCCTCCTCCAAATCTTCACCACCATCAGAATCAATATAATCAGGATCCTCATCTTCGTCATACTCATCATCCATGCTAAGATACTTTTTAATTCTATCAGCCCAAGACGTATGCGAATCATCGCTCATTAGATCATCATCGTCACTTTCTTCTTCTGTTTCTATCTGATAAGTTTCCGTAGTATTTAAAGCAGTTGAGAAGGTGACACGTTTCTTTGGTCGTGGGTTCTCTGTACTCTAGATGTTTAATGAAAAAATTTATGTTGAATGTCGCGAACAATTAAGAAGATACTGCATGGAATTTATTAGAAATTGGCATACACTTTCTTCTGTGGACAACACAGGACTTAATTTTCTTTTGTGACCTTTGCTTGTCATTACACTTTATTAAAGAACGACGCGGATTAAAGACAAGAAATATAAAAAGAAAAATTAATTCTTGTAGTTAAACGATGTAAATTTCGTGATCTAGATATAAAAATCAAGATCACGTGTGAATATAAATCGCGTTAGCCAATAGCTAGCAATATATAATTTTTTTTTTAAAAAATAAGATGTTTCAAGATATTAGTTCAAATCATTATTAGTTACCTTATAGCCAATTTAATTTATAATTGAACAAAGTTAAAAAAAATACAATTTATTTTTATTTATTTTTTGCGCGATTTTTAATTATTTATGATTACAATCAGTATATGAACAGTCAGTTAACTGAAAAATACAATTTATAAAAATTAGATTTATTATTATATTTAACAAATTATATATTTTTTTTTTTTTATTTTTTGAAGAAACAGATGATCCTTATACTTTATTTTTATTATAATTTTAAACTTGTAATTACAAAATTTATAATCTATAGTATAATATATATATATCTTTGCTAAAAAGAGTTTAATATAAGATTCACAATTGTAATTCATCCACTTAAATTTTTTGGCATCACCCAAGAATATAAAAAAAAAGAAGTTCAAGTCATGATTAAATTGGTATACTTACTTTTCAAATATGACTTGATATATAGCAAACAGAATAAATATTAATTTCAAATTATATTAAAATAAAATTGGTTATTTATTATTTACAATGTATTACAAAAATCTTTGGATTAATATTTTTTAATATAAATTAATAAATAATTATTTAATTAATATAAAACTTTAAATATATATTTTTTATAATGTAATAATAAAAATATTTAAGTT